AATCAATCAATCAATCAATCAATCAATCAATCAATCAATCAATCAATCAATCAATCAATCAATCAATCAATCAATCAATCAATCAATCAATCAATCAATCAATCAATCAATCAATCAATCAATCAATCAATCAATCAATCAATCAATCAATCAATCAATCAATCAATCAATCAATCAATCAATCAATCAAGCAAGCATATTTGAAATAACACTTTAATAATTATAACCAAAATGTTATTGCAACCGTTTAACAACATTAACTCAAAAGACAATGTTTTTTTTTGATCACGTCAATCTAACCCTCAGGTAGATACAAAGAAATTATAATAATAAAAAAAATTATGATAAAAACAAAAACAAAGATGCAGTTTAATACGGTAATGATGTTTATCTACTATTTTAATAAGTGAGAAAGCAATTCAACTCAAAAGCAGTTTAAACTCAGCAACAGAATAACAGGGAGAATCAGGGCCACTTTTAGAGTATTAATAATGATTCCATAAAACAAGGACAAGCATGACAAGTATAAGGATGAACTCTATTTCTCACAAATCCCTTTTTTCTTCTCAGAGCATGAGTGATCATTCCAGTTGTTCAGGACAGGATCTGAAGGTCTCATTTCAATACAGTCCTCGCTATTACCACGATAGTTATTCGGCTCACCTTCAGCCCAAAACCTGTATAAAATGTGTCAGTTTTCACCCATTTAGCAACTAAATGAGGATTGTCACAAACAATTCTTTAATTAACATCACATGCAGTAGCAGAATAGTTTCAAGAATAAACTAAAATAGTACAGAAGCGGAAGTTAAAATTCAAGAAATGTATAAGAGAGAAGAGGATCTTATTTTTAAAATAAGAATAAAAAGCTTAAACAAATACATCTTCAGTGGTTTTCGATGAGTGTTTTAGCTCTTACCCTTGATTCAGTGGTGAATTATCCACCCATTTCATGTTGCCCTCATTCTCTGTGTCAGACAAACCAATCCACACTCTCTCTTTGATAAATGATGATATGTGCCTCTGTGTGTGATAATAAAAACAGGAATAAGTGTGATTCTCTCATTCATTAACAGACACTCACACAAACTCACCTGCTTCTCTTCAGAGTTGATAATGATCAGATCAGCACCACGATCCCTGCAGTACTGTCTGCTGTCAGACCAGCTCTTCAACTCAGTGGACAGGAACAAGCCATCTGGACCCCACAGATATCCTGACGAGGATAGACTTTTTAAAACTGTATACATAAAAGATACTTGCTTGCACATAAAATGATTTGCACTAACCTCGCTTAGAAGTGGCCTGAAAATGCTGCAGTATGATGCCAGCAATCAGAAGAAGACAAATGATCCCGAGACACACAGTGATCGGCACCAAACATCGATTTCCTCCTGAAAACACAAAAATATTAATTTAAACACTCCATATTATCAGGATGTAAGTTTCAAGAATAAAGTATTGTTTTATAAGAACATCTGGAATTACTATATGGTAAAATATGCAAGCAAGACTATAAAATTTCAATAGAATGGAAAATTGACAATATTGATCTTAGAAAACAATCATTGAAATTGCATCTAACAGTTCTCATCTCCTAAATTAAACTTTCTTCTTACTGCAGCTTTGAGCTTTTCCTTCATAAGTGCAGTGTCTTTGAGATCCAGTTGTGTTCTTAACATTTCTGCATTTAGCATTATTATAAAAGTCCTCTAATTCCATTTTTGTTTGTGCGTCTTGCAGTGCGTCTTTACAGAAGGGATGTGGTCTAAAACGACTGCTACGTTTGTTTTAATAGTGCTAAATATACAGAGGAAGTGATTTCATGGAACACTGACATTCTTGAAGATTATAGACTTCCAGTATGAAACTCCTCAGACCGAAACTAACATGTATTATGTACAATTGCATGTAAGTAAAAACATAAAAAGGATGAACCCTATTTCTCATAAATCCCTTTCCCCCCCACACACACTTAGCATTCCTGTTGTTCAGGTGTGAAGAAAAAATTATAATCTGGAATTGTTACAGTGCACTGTAAAATATGTAACAACAACATGTTAAAAAAAGTAAATAAAATGATGACGGTAGAATGACGTCAAAAAGATTTGCATACGCAGGGTAATATTTGTGGAAGTGTACATAAGACTGTAAGCGTAAATTAAATTTGCATGTGCAAGAGAAACTTTGTAAAGGTGTAAATCGTGTTTCAAGCGCAAGAAAAAAATATTTGCAGCATTTTACTGTTATTCATAAGTGTAATTCATGTATTGTGAAACTGCAGCTTCATGCTAACGCAAAATAGTTAGTGAGAGAACAGTGCCAAAATTGTGAGTCTGTCCTCTCTGCAGCCTGCAGCACGATGACGTAGCTGGACTATATCCACTACGTAGTGAATATTTTACACGCATGCGCTGTAGTAGGTCTCGAATAAATTCATATTTTTATCTACATTTGATCATTTTGCAGACGCTTTTATCCACAGCGACTTAGTCTAACGACTTGGTCTAAGGTAGCAAGGGTCTTTGACCTACTTTACATATCTAAACAAGATGACCTACATTACATTACAATGTAAAAACTTTAATGTCTAAATTCATCCGCGATGTTTTCGTCTATACCGGCAACTTCAAAACTTTATTTATTTAATTATTTAATTATTTATTAGCCTGCATAATAGCATATAATAGCCTGCAATTCATATATTATCGCCAGGATGCACATCAATGCTGTATCCATTATTATAAGTATACAACAAGCACTGTAACATGACTTATATGCAGACGTTGTACTGTAAATAGCTAATTATTAAGATATACATCACTCTATCAGAGTTAACCTAAATGTCTTTTTGATTCTATCCGTCATGTTTATTTAAATTTAATTGGGGATATTAGATTAATGCCGATCCATTTAGTTTATTTAGATTTGATATTATTCTAATATAGCTAGAGAGAGAGAGAGCGAGAGAGAGAGCGATAGCGATAGGAATGGATGGTTTATGTCTTTAGCCATTTATAATTGGACTGTCTATCTCCAGGGATTTCACTTGCTTATAGGCCTAACCCACAAAAAAAGAAATGGTCATCTTTGTGTTAAAATGCCTTGTCCCCACCGTGTGTGTATTTATTTGCTGGACATGGGATTAACTGTAAAACCCCGGTATAACCCGGGATATCGGATCTATCGGCTATACGGAACCCCGACTGACAGGATTGTTTTTCTTCTTTTTATTTATGGTATAAAAATTATGTCCGCATATGTTAGTAGGCCTATAACTTTTATACTCTGTCACGTATAGCACAGAGAGTGAGAACGAAAAATAATATTTGATTCATGAAC